ACCCACTTATCAATCCTCGTCAATAGGATGATAAGTCCACAAAGTTGCTCCAATCACAACACAATCTTGTCACGTTAATATCACACCTCTGACAAAATTCACTTATCAATCCTCTTCAATAGGATGATAAGTCCTCAAAGTTGCTCCGATCGCAACAAATTCCCGTCATGATAACACCAAACCTCTGACAATCCACTTATCAATCCTCTTCAATAGGATGATAAGTCCACAAAGTTGCTCCGATCGCAACATTAATCAACTTATCGACTCTCTTCAATGGAGCGATAGGTCCACAAACCCGTCAAGTTAATATCACACCTCTGACGACACAATCAACTTATCGACTCTCTGCAATAGAGCGATAGGTCCATAAAATACTGTTAGGTTAACATCACACCTCTAACAGTCAAACCCCCCAATGAACTTGTTAATCCTTTTTCAACAAGAGTAGCAAGTTGTCATTATAAAATCCCCAGTGGATTAAATATTTTCTAGAATTATCCTAGTGATAATAAAGAAAATTTCTGAATTTCACTCTAAGTGAAAATTCGCGCCAAGTTAATACTACACGTCCGGCACTTCTAATTTTCTTTCAGTGTTTCAAGTGAAAATATAACATAGGAAGAAACAGTGACAAAGTCTATGTATTCAACATCGTAGCACCAAAAATCCATGTCTTACACGCATGGGGGACTTTATCTCGATCCCTAATTAGAGATAAGCCTACGCCTAACACGCGTTGCCGGTTAGTCTTTTCCCGTGAAAATGACAAAGTCTATATATTCAAAATCATGGAATCAAGTCTAAGAGGGTTCATTCTCTTAGCACAACGTTACATGTGGAACAGACTTAGACAATCCACATGCTAGCCCGACTCAAACGGTAGTCGGTAAAGGCTTATCAAATACGTTGATGGCTGAGGGTTTCTCAAAAATCCTATGCACATTTGCAGGTCCATCAGCTTAAAGGATGTGAGCCGAGACTTAAAACAGATCAGCCAAAGACAAGTCTCAAAGACTTAGTCAAAAATGCACGGAAGCCACTTCCATATCTTAAGTCAAAACGTTGAGGTCAGACCCGCGATACAAAAACCGAACGCCGAGGTCACACCCGTGTTCCAAATTCAAAATGCAGGGTCCACCCCCACAGTCCAGAAGTAGGATTATGGCGCATACCTTCACACAGGTCCTACGTGGCAAATCCCTTCAACCAAGATGCCTTCGAAGCAAGTGCAGAGAACAAATCCTTTACCACAAGGAATCAACAGCTCCAAGATCAGAGTTGAAATCCAAAGTATTCCGAAAATTCGTCCCAGTCAACCGCGAACTTTCGAAAACTTTGGAGGGGGTTCTGTAGGCTGTCAAAAAATCATAATAGATAGCTGATCCCCATCAAAACACCGATGATGGAAGTTATAATCTGACGATTTCCAAAAGGTCACAATTTGAAGACTTTTACGTAGATCACTAAAGGTTACAATCTGACGGCCTTCACGACAACTGATGGAAGCTCTAATCAAACAGCCTTCATAATCAACATCGGGAGTTACAATCTGACGACTCTCATATATCAGAGAGCTAAAGTAAAGATTACAAAATGACGATCTTTGCAACGCTTCGACAGAAAGAGACTACAAATCGACAGTCTCTTCAAATCAAGCTGCGGAAGTCCTCCCCGCACACCAGCATCAAGACGCATCACATTCATAGACACGAACGCAGCTCATCAACCGCTGCCAAATACAGCTCATCAACCGCTGCCAAACGCAGCTCCATCGCTGCCCAATGCAGCTTATCAACTGCTGCAAACGCAGCTCCATCGCTACCCAACGCAGCTCATCAACCGCCGCCAAACACAGCTCCATCGCTGCCCAACGCAGCTCTATACCGTTGCCCAACGCAGCTCCAATCGCTGTCCAACGCAGCTCCAATCGCTGCCCAACGCGACTCTATACCGCTGCCAGACGCAGCTCCAATCGCTGCCCAACGCAACTCAAATCGATGCTCAATGCGGCTCTATACCGCTGCCAGACGTAGCTTTAATCATCGCCAGACGCAGTTCCATAACACTGCGAAACGCACCTTCAAACATCAAAGAACGCATCTCCATATCGCTGCAGAACGCAGCTTCCAAATTGCTGTAAACGCAGCTCAGATCTGCTGCCAAATGCAACTCTTAAATCGCTGCAAATGAGCTTCCAAACACTGCGTCTGAGCTTCCAGATGCTGCGTTCAAGATTTTAGGCATTGCGTTTAGACACAGAATTCATGCCAGAACGCGGGCCTGCGTTTGACTTGTTCAAACACGAGCTGAACGGTTCCAAAACCGTTTCCCACGATCTGAGGGGATCACAACTCCACTCAGGAGTGATTTAAGGGGCGGTTACATCCCATTTGCCCCACTTTGGAGCGAATTAAGGAGGTGGTTACACCCCTTAATCCCCTATAAATAACTAAAAATCAATTCAGTTCGGGGTCGGTCTGTTGGAACTTCTTGGCTCGTCAACAGGATCCTTAGAGCATTTCTGGAGCTTTGGAGATAAGCAACAAGATCTTCTTCATCCTTGGCTTATAACCGACTTTCGGTTAAATCAACTCTTTCATAGAGCTTTAAACTCGTTCAGAGTTCTCCACAACGTCAAATCGTGAGGAGAAGACCACGTTCCAGTGAAACAAGACATCGGATCTTCAACGGAGAGCAAATTCGACACAAGCAGGGAGAATCCAGATCATTCTCCTCTCTTTTGTAATCAGGAAATCCAATTGTAACTGAGATTAAAGGAATACAAATCAATTTTCCTTCGTTTCTTTTACTGCAAATTTTCCCACAAATAGTCCCATAGTAGGAGAATTCTTGCTTTGCCTGAACTCCTGACATTAGATATCCAGCTCCAACTATTAGCAATTTTTTTTGCTACTGCTGGAATCATAATATCTTTAATTTTAGTCTCAATTAGAGCAATGAAAGAGGAATTATATTGATGCTACTGCTGGAATCATAATATCTTTAATTTTAGTCTCAATTAGAGCAATGAAAGAGGAATTATATTGATATAGGTGATGTTTAACCAAATGCTTCTTATTTAGTCTCAATTAGAGCAATGAAAGAGGAATTATATTGATATAGGTGATGTTTAACCAAATGCTTCTTATAGAACTTATTCAATCCTCTAACATTCCAGAAAGTTAGTTTCATGTTAAATTGATTTAATCCCCTCTATCCAAAGTAGAAGGGTCAGATATTTCTAGGAAACCCAAGGGGAGGAAAGAATTTGCTGAGGAAATATTCCCTTGAGTCAATTTCCCAATATTGCCTAAAGCACCTGCACTCCCATATCTATGCAATCCAGGCATTGAACTTGAAGAATTACAGGCGTGCACAACATGTACAGGCTCTACAGATCCAAACCTAGAGACTGCAGAATTTTGAGTGTGCACAACATGCACAGGGTCCAGACTATGGGCAACATGCTCAGATTCCAGACAGGAGCTAGAGATTTTATTTTTATGCCCAGAATCCACAGATTCAAACCTTGAGACTGCTGATTTTTGAGCGTGCATAACATGCACATGCTTCAAGGTGTGAACAATATGCTCAGTTTTCAGACAGGAGCTAGAGACCTCATTTGTTTTTAGCTGGCCAAACTTATTATTAGGTTGATATGAAGACCTCATATTAACTACATCCCCTGATTTATGCACACCAGCTTCAGAGTTATGGACAGTTTGCACATGCTCCATTCTATTAAGCACTTGTGAGTCACCAAGAGTAGAATTTTTATTATCATCATTATTAGCCATTCTTATACTCTTCTTAGGCACCCATTTCTGAACCTTAGTTTGTCTCTTGCAGAAGTTAGTATCATGCCCTACTAATTTACAAAAATCACACCATCTTGGCTTTAGTTCATAATTCACCTTCTGATTAAAAGATGCACCATGTGGTCCCTGAATGGTTATATAATCAGGAAGGGATGTTGGCAAAGTTACTTCAACCAGAACTCTGGCATAAGAGAGTCTCTGTCTACTAGCAGTGAGCTTGTCAGTGGTTATAGGCTTTCCAATAGCACTCACAATCTTACTAATACACCTTGTATTCCACAAGTTTAATTTCAGACCTGGTAATTGAATCCACATTGGATATATGCATTCTTTAACATGATCAATCTCTTCATTTGCTGTCCATGCCTTTAAAAGTAATAAGTTACTTTTTTCTTATAAGGTGCCATTGTGATGTTTGGTAAGGGTAGCTTATGTTACTTATTTGTTACTTATAAGAGAGAAAAAATAAGTTGGGATTTCTCTCTACTTATAAGCAAAATTTCTTTACTTTAGTCAATAGACGAAAATACCCTCCTATTCCCTTTACTTAGTTAATTTTTTGTTTATTATATAATGACTAGGTTTATTAATTAATTATTTTATTATTTTATTAATAACTATTATTTTATTAACATGAAATTCATTAATCTCAATATTATTAATTAATAATCATAAATAATGTCATATGTAAAAATATTTAGGTAAAGGATATTTCTTGCTATGAGATAACTAATTTTTATATATTAATTAATTATTTTATTACTAATAGTATTTTATTAAAGTTAAATTAAGCAATTAATCAAAGTATTAGTAATTAACAATCACAATCAATGTAATATATAAAAATATTTGATCAAATCTATCTCTAATTTTGAGATAACTGATTTTTAATTAATTTATTAATAATAATATTTTACTAATATGAATTGGTTTTTCCACGAAACTAACGTTTTAATTAGTTTTACCAATAGTTGGTACTTTGAGCAGTGTTCTATATTTTGTGGGATTTGTGTAACTAATGGATTGTCTGATTAGTTTGAACAGCAGAAATTAGAGCATATGAAAACTAAGAACATGCTTTGAAGATTTTCTAATGGAAGCATTCCTATATGTCTTTAGAAGGAGATGATGTCAAACCCAATAATGTAAAACACATGAGTCGAAAAAGTTAAACCAGTCATGTTTTTTCAATTTGATCATGGTTGGAAAAAACTCATCCGTTACTTTTTTTTAGATAAAATACTTACATGAACCCTCTCTCGTAGATTCAATCACAAGATCCAAATTCTTTAACCCAATATTATCATACAAATACATCGATTTTGAATTCCTTTTTGCATCACGAACTTTTCAAGCTTTAATTTAGCTTTTCTTCCTTTTCTTCTTTTTTGTCCTTTGAGACTTCTCCTTGACATCTCTCTGCCAAATTTGAGATCGAAATATCTTTAATTAGTTACACGAATCATGTCCAAAAAACTAACACACAAGTGCATATATAGAGACATGCATTCATTAACACACGTACATAGATTCCAACATTCACACAAACATACAAATGTTCCTACATATGCCCACACACATACGCAGTCACACACGTGTTTGTGTGTGAGCATGTATATACATGCACACATGTGCAGATACACTCATATACTGTAATGCACGGTTTTAATCTTCGTAGATATGTTTTCTAGGTACGTAAACTCTTGTGTTACATCCTATATAATCCATATAGCATTTTCGCCACTGTAGGATTATATGGTAACAGTTTTTTTACTGGTGTTCACAGGGAAAAACAAATATTGGGAGTTTCAAGCGAAATTAACATCCTGAAGAATTTGGGAGTTCTATAAATTTCTTACCATATTTCTCTTCATAATTGACGTCATTTGCCACTTCAACCTCAGTCCTTTGATCAACACTTGAAGGAGAAGTAGGAGAGCTCAGCAGTGACTCCTCCAACTCTGCGTCTGGAATTTTGAATCCACTAGCGTAAGTAGCTGTAAACTCCACAGGGGCGAGGTCAGTAAACGCGTTGACACCTAATGTGTATTTATGCTCTCCAGCATTATTGAAATCTTCTATGTATTTAACGTTCTCTTTGAATATCTCAAATCTCCGTGCTTTCTCAGCCTCATCCTCGTAAACACGCCCATACTCAGCCATCCACAGCTCATGCCTCCTTTTCATGATTTCCTCACAATGGCTTTCAGATTCCATTCTTTGGGATCATATATTTGCTACAACCACAAATCTCTGTGCTTATATATACATATATGTGAGCATAGGATTCCTAGTGCATGATTACAAAGATCATTACTGGTGACAACCAAGAAAAAGTCATACAGTCCCGAAAGCATTGGATCCTTGAAGAGCATCGTGTGCAACCAAATGACTAAATAAGATTCCGAATATAGACAGCTTAA